ATTTTCACTCAGTAGCACATCGGTTGGAAAAAAAATTAATTGAGTTATTTGGTCTTTTATATATATATATATATTCTTGTTTTGGATTTCTTAAAATTTTTTTCTTTTTATTTTTGGAAATCCAATTGAGTGCATCACTGCATCTATTTGACATTATCCTAAACCAAACCAGCCTAGCATAAAGATATTGCATTACGGAATTCTTTGATATCAACTTTTTTGCATGTTGTATTATTTCAGAAGTCTGCCTTAGGCTGTCAGCCAAGCTGAGTTATTTCAGTTATGACAAAAACAATATGAAATGGTACACATCCCACTGAGTTTTTTTTAGGAAGATCAGAATTTGTCAAGTTTTATTATATTTGAAATTCCAAAGTTTCATTGTAGAGATAATCTTAAAGAATATGTTCTCATTTTGAGTAAAATTTACTGAAACTGAGCTGACTGTGCTCTTTAGTTTAATCCATCTACTTGCAAAATGTTAATTCTTTTGATTTCATATATATTTTTCTTTATAAAGTTTCATTTTGGCTTGATATATTATAGGATGCTAGATTGGGGAGATATTGCTTTCTCACTGCAGCAGCTTTCTGATTATGAAATTCTGATGAGTTGTTCTACCTCTCCTGCTGCAGAAGCCCCTGATTTTGTTGAGAATGAAAGAAGGTTAGTATTATTACAGCTCTCAGATTACTTCCTGAAGAACTTCAGCTGTTTAGCTCTTAATAATCTACTTCAAATTTAAGTCAGAGTATAAGGCATATGCTCTCAGTTTATGTGATAGTTTATTGTGTTTTCTAGGCAGTTTTTTAAACAGTACAAATGTAAACCAATTATTTTTTCAAGTAAAAAAATTGCATATTCAACAAAATATCCAAAACTGCTCTAAGTTAAATAGATTATGAGAGCTAAAATTTAAGAAATTTTTTTCCTTTCTTCCTCCCAGAGGAGCTCAAAAAACAAGATGCGCAGGCATTATCTTGTTAGATCCTAGGGTTACTCGGCCAAGCATTAGGAAGCACTTGCCTAGGAAAAATTATTATATCCGGACTCCGGACGCAAAATTTGCTTCAGGAGCAGTGAGAGGGGTGTTTCTTGTGGCAGGTGGGCCCCACCCCTCTAAAACCTACCCAGCCAGTGTATTACAGTGAGGCCCACTTGCCATGTGGCAAGTGCCTGCTGATGCCGGTGCTTTGATGCAATAATCGCTCCTTGCCTAGGCATATTCAGTGCATCCCAAATACTGCAAAGGACTCACTACTGTCGCTTGCGTTGGTGTCAAAAGAACACTTTGCTTTAGCCAGTGGGACATTCGCCCAGTTACTAAAAGCCGTTTGCCGACGAGTGCTTCGAACCGTCGACTTCGTTGATAAAGTTGGCTAGAAAGGTCTACACGTTCATTAACCCAACCAGTAACCCCTCCCCATCACTCAGCCTAAGGAGTCTTCCATCTCTAACCATTGCTGTATTGACTATTGATGCCTGCCTGTTTGTAATGGTCCAATTATGTTTTTTTTTTTCAATTTTTTTTGCAAGTTTTACATACATACCACTCATTGCCAATGTATTTACACATCTAACCATCTGAACTTTAATTTTTACATGTGTGCCACCTTATCTAAGCATGAAATAAATAGTGTATTTCATTTAATTCGTTAATAGTTATTGCTAATTATTGAGTCTCTCTCTCGTGCAGAATGTGGAGCTATTTGATAAAATACCCAGATTGGAGGCGCACTTTCACAGGTTGGAGACCCCGCATATTTGACAGAAATCCTAAAGGAGGATGGTCAAGGTGCATTTAATATATATATATATATATA